AAGCATTATATTACACTCAACACTGCATTTTTTTATATTTTGTATATGGCAATTGAACTTTAATTTGTTGTCTATGAGTATGCCAAGTTATTTTCCTTCTTCTCTAATCTCAGTTTTGGTGTTTATTCTTAGTTGTATTTAGTTTGTTGGATTATTTCAAAGTACTTTAATATGAAATAAGTTTTTTCAATTTTAAAGGCAAGTTTGTTATTTGTCACACTAACTGGTTAGTGTTTGAGAAAATTAACCCTCTGTACTGTGCACTTATTTCATGTGATAACTCAGCGGTGCACAAAAAAAAAAAAAGTTACAACTATTGTTCAACTGTGTTCCCTCATCACAGGAAACTAAAAAATAATATGTATGTAGTTCACTCTGGCTGTGGTGGAAAGGGAAAATATAGCAAGATGCCGTCGATTCTTGATCCTGGTCAATAAATCTTGAATATGAATTATTTTTCATATTCATTTTCTAAAGGAACATAAGGTCCCAGTAGTATAGTCGGGTTTGTTCTCTATTCGCAATCAGGAATTCTAAGCTCAAATTCTAGGCGGGACAGAAATGTTTGGGTGCATTTCCTATAATCTAATGCTGCTGTTCACCTAGCGTAAATAGGTACCTAGGAGTTGTCAGCTTGTTGTGGGATTGCATCCTTGGTAGGATCAGGAGTTCGACCCTGGGGGTACTTTGATATGTCTAGCATATACTGTGTACATATACAATGGCTGCCTGTCCCCCCAACACAATGAATTAAATGATGTGCAGAGGCAAGAAACTGCAGCCGTGTGCTGTAGCTGTTTGTCTTGCTTTGGGAGCATCGTCAGCAGGATCGCTACCCATGGTTACTCAGCCTGAAATGCTATGCATGTTTGTCGCTTTGCAAGAATGTAAAAAACACCAATGTTATGTACTCTCATGAATGCAATGTACATTTTTGTATAAATAAATAAATAAATAAAAAAGTTTGTACAAATGCACCTTACACCCAGGAGGGGGTGCCCACAATTTTTTCCAAGATGGCACGTGTTTACGTAAAGCCTGAGAAAGTGGATGCATGCCCTGTGTACCCATGGGAGTTTAAAATCTTATGCTAGAGCTAAAAGCATCCCTGGTCGCTGTGCTCACCACCGATGAAGCAACAATGGTCGCTATGCGTAATTAAAGGGTTAGTAGTGTCATCAACAAGCAGTTTTGATTTAAGGTATTGCATGGCATTTGATGCCGTGAGTATACTGTACTGTATATGATAAAGAGGAGTGGACCAAGTATGGACCCTGTGGAATGCCAACATTAATTGACAGTAACGATGAATTAGCATCATTCACAGTAATATAGTACTGGTATCTGTCACTGAGGTAAGATCAAATTTAAGGAGGTTATTATTGTTAACAGTTTCAGAGGGCTTTTGAAGGTCAACAGTCAGTTTTGACGAGTACCCATTTGTGTCAATATCTGCAAGTATAAAGTAAAGCATATTTTTAAGGGAAGCAGGGCAGGCACTGAATTCTAATGATTTATTTTGAGGTAATGATATGGGTAATACCATAAAATACCTGGGTTGGTATAAATTAGGGCTGGTATTTCCGAGTGGTTGCCTGCTTTAGTTTTGAGTACATAATTTAACAATTGAAGAAATTGATGAGAATAATGTAGATATATTTATTCAGGATAGTTGCCTGTGAGATGATCATTTACATTGGTTTGTGATGCTGGAATATTGTGTGGTTATTCCAATTGATGAGAAAAACTCTTAAATTCAGTGACAGTGTCATTGGCTTTTATGTTTTCACCATCCCTAGACAGGAATATTTGTAACAATATAAGTCAAACAGGATTCACTAGGGCCTGATTAAGATATTTTGTGCTCTCTTTTAATTCTTTTGTGCTACGTCTTACAGAATGAACATGGGTGCACAATAAACTAACTGCTTTTAACAGCAATAATCAAATTTTTTATATATGCAACAGTTCTTACATTCTTATACAACCACTAGCATGCATAAGGTTTTGGGCAGGTCCTTAATTCTAATATTTCCCGAAATTTCTCGCCAAATCTTTTAATTAACAACCAGGTACCCATTTTACGGTTGGGTAAACAGAGGCAACAGTTAAGGATCTGCGCCCAGTAAATCCTCCCCGGCCAAGATATATGAACCCAGGACAAAGCGCTCGCGAGACGCTAGGCGAGCGTCTTACCAATACGCCACTGGGACTGCGTAATGGAAATAATCCACTAACTCCCAGAAACCTACTTACAGTACTGCTAGGCAAAAGGGGGCATCAGGTGTAAGGAAACTTGCCTAAATGTTTCACTCTGCTGGTAATTGAATCAGAGATCAAACGGTTAAGAAAACAAATTGGGAATATCAAGTAGAATTGTACACTTTCACAATGGTACAGTGTATCCTTGCCCAAGAGTATGGGGGCAAGGATACCCTTGCCTACCATTCCAGTATGGGGGTCAAAGGAATTAAAAAAAAAATGATGTGCCAAATTATAGATGTGTTCAGGGATTACTATGGGCAGGAATGTAACTTTATATGTATTTATATGTATTTATATCCAAACTCTCTTCTCCTTTCACCAATCAGCCCGGCAGATGTTGTGTCCATCATACACTCTCTAAAAACCAAGGCAGGGAACACCAGTGAAATTCCGTCCATTGTGTACAAGAGAGCCTCCCATGCCCTTGCCCCACCCATAGCACTACTGTTCAACAAATCTATAGAGTGTCACACCTTCCCTGATATCCTCAAAAAAGCAAGAGTAACGCCAGTCCATAAAGGAGGCAATCCGGCGGACATAAACAATTATAGACCAATATCAAATCTACCCATTCTATCAAAAATATTTGAAAAAATTATTTACAAACAGCTCTATTCCTACCTCGTAAAATTTGACATACTCAGCCCCTGCCAGTTTGGCTTCCGGTCCCAAAAGAGTACCAATGATGCAATCATTAGTCTCCTTGACATTATCTACTCAGCCCTTGACAAAAATGAGTTTCCGATTGGACTCTTCATTGACCTAAGAAAAGCCTTTGATACTGTTAATCACAACTACCTCTTACTTAAACTCCAGCATTATGGAATCCGAGGCCTTGCCCTTGACTACATCCGATCCTATCTTAGTGACAGACACCAATATGTAACCATCAATGATACAACTTCTTCCACTCTACCAATTACCGTTGGAGTGCCACAGGGCAGCATCTTAGGACCTCTTCTATTTCTTATATATATAAACGATCTGCCTAATGTCTCTAATATTCTCAAACCTATATTGTTTGCTGACGATACTACCCTTATCTACTCAAACCTCAACCCACATACACTAAATAATGTTGTGAATAATGAATTAAAAAAAGTCCACTTATGGATGTCAACGAACAAACTAACATTAAACATCGAAAAGACTTACTACATCTTATTTGGAAGCAAATCATCAAATGCAATTCAGCTACAGATAGACAACATTAACATCAGTAATAAAAATGATGGCAAGTTTCTTGGCCTATTCCTAGACAAGAGACTCAACTTCAGCACCCACATTCAACACATAACTAAGAAAGTCTCTAAGACAGTTGGTATACTCTCCAAAATCAGATATTATGTTCCTAACTCTGCTCTCCTCTCACTATATTATGCACTAATCTACCCCTATCTTAATTATGGTATCTGTGCATGGGGGTCTACCACTGCAAACCACCTTAAGCCCATCATCACACAGCAAAAATCTGCTATCAGAATAATAACTAACTCTGCTTTCAGACAACACTCAACTCCCTTGTTTAAATCTCTAAACTTGCTAAATATTAACTCCCTCCACACATTCTCTTGTGTCAACTACATTTACAAAACCCTGTTCTTAAATGCAAACCATGCTCTGAAACTCTCCCTGGACAGATGTAATAGGACCTATTATCACCACACCAGAAATAAATATCTCTTTGATATCCCCAGGGTCAAACTTAATCTGTGTAAACACTCTATGCAAATCAAGGGACCTAGTCTATGGAACTCACTCCCTAGTGAATTGAAAAACTGTAAAACTTTTGCCTTATTTAAAAGCAAAACCAAAAAGTACCTAACTTCATCTATTTAGTTTCCTACACTGAGCTTTAAATTTGCTCTGTACCTAGTGGTACCCAATCTCCTAATTTTTATGTAATATCAAACAACCTTATCATTGTGTTCATTGCTGTCTTCTTTTATGTGCTAGCCATATGCTGTATTGTGACTACCAATTTTTATCAACTACCATTCAAGCTGTCATTGCAATCAATCTTATATTGTTTCTGCTGTATTGTGCCTACCAATTTGTTGTCAACTACCACTTTAAGCTGTCATTGCAATCAATCATAGCTACCTATGTGCTTTAATATACTGTACCTATAATTTTCTCTCATCTTTTTTTTTCATTCCATGTAATCTGTTATCATTTTTTTGTCTATAAATTTTGCAAGTATTTACCTCCTTAAAATTTTCTTAGATTAAGGACCTGCCCGAAACGCTGCGCGTGCTAGTGGCTTTACAAGACTGTAATTACCATAATTGTATCCTCACATTCCTTATGTACATTCTTGTATATGCATAAATAAATAAATAAATAAATGTAGGCTGAAATAATGGCTATAGCTGGCCTTCCTAAGGCAATTGCAGCTTGCACAGTAAAGATTATAAAATGGTACTTTTTCTTTTTGAGACTCCTAATTTTCACCAGACCAGATCCTAATTAATAAGCATTAAGCTCCTTTAGATTGTTAATAAATTAGAGCCTCTGTTAAGTACTTCCTTACAATATATTTTTGGCAAACTTTTTCAATTTACTACATTAGAATAAGAAATTATACAGCTTTATTAGCAGTAGTACTGAATGCCCAAGTACTTATTTGATTAATACTGTATTTTCCTCAAGCCACTTTAAATATTTAGTTTAATATTTAAAGTGCTCTGACAATAAAATAAAAACAGAAAATGAGGTAAATAAAATTTCTTCCAAACTAAGATCACTTTAAAATTATTAAATCTTTGTAGAAATATTGGCATATCAACTTGCCTTTTCCCTTTTTGTTACATGTTAGAAATGTACTGTACAGTATTTAATTTCAATACTTATCACAGGCTGGTACTATTTATCATACATCAAGTTCAGCATTATTTCACAACAAATTAACTACAGTACAGTATCTGCAAATGCCTATAAGAATTAAATAGAATAAGACAATTCAAGTTAGTGCATATATAATAAGATTGCATAATTTTCATTGACCAAAAATTTAGGCTATTAGTATGTTACCAAACAGGGAGTCTCCCGTTCAAATGGGTCATGTTCTGAAAAGCAGTTTGTAAAGCAGTTCAAAATGCCGAACAAGATTTCCCATAGGTGAAATGCTATACATGTGGGATGCATTCCTGGACTATGAAAAATTATTACAAAACCAATATTTTTGTGATAAATAATATAAGAAACACTGCACATTATTTATTTTAAATGATGGTATTATCCTGCTTGTCAAAGTTGGCTGTTTTTGAAGAGTAAAGAGATGTAATCACTAGAAACACAAGTAGGTAATGATGATGAATGGGTGGCCATGACTGGCTTGTCACCTTCAATGTCACTGGCAGTGATTCAACCACTGGTTCATGTGGGAGATGATGCATGGGTGGCAAACATAAAAATGAAGGTAACTGCAGAAAGCCAATTGGCCCATAATAGGCAGCTCCTATTTATATCCACTCAATCTCATTCATATACATGTCTAACCTCGCTTCAAACAATTGAGAGATTCTACTTCTATTATGTTATGCGGTAATTGGTTCCACAAATTAACACCCCCTGTTACCAAACCAGTATTTACCCAGGTCTTTCCTAACGGGGTGGATCATCATCAGTGTCACTCGTTGCTGTTACTCAAAGGTTTTGGGCCAATCTTTTTCTTGTTCGTTAAGGCTGATGAAAATTACATTTTGGGAGGTGATTGCTGAGCTAGAGACTTTTTGGGGAAATATATTCTAAAGTTAGTTTATACAACTATCTTCTTTCCAATTAAAATTGGCTTGAGGGTGCAAGGTCATTTAATATAATTTTTGAGGTGCTTAGATGTCTCTAAGCATTGTTGTTTTGTTCTAAAAACATTGCAAAGCAACCATCCATCAGCTAAAATGCCTTTGCCATTTTCTTTACTGTGAATTATTTTGCTTGGGAAGTCTCTGCCACAGCCTCTGGAACTGCTTCATCTGCAAGCTTTTCTGCCTCCAACTTTTATTCAATAAACAACTGAAAGTCTACAGAATGTACAGTGTTAAGTCCTGAGCACAAGAATAATACTGAGGTGGCATGGGTCACCGTTAGTGGGCTGGGCGGACACTTTTGTACTACTCTATGCCACCATGTGGCTGTGTGGACATTTTTGTACCACCCTAGGCCACCATGTGGCTGTGTGAACATTTTTGTACCACCCTAGGCCACCATGTGGCTGTGTGAACATTTTAGCAGCACTGCTCATAATACTGGGGACAGCTGAGAGGGTTGCATAGCAGATTGGTGCAAAAAGAAGAATGGAGACTTGAGAGGCCGTTTAGAAGATGAGTGTTCATAAAGTAAATAGCCGTATAACAGGGAATCCATGTACTGTACTGTACAAGTATTTGGAAACATGTCATTTGACTTTTCAAGATATTGGACCTCACTCTTCTCTCAATTCAATTTAGTATCAGCCACTGATATATTGCTATACTGAATTGTTAGCATTAAGTAAGGGCTTGCACAATATATCTACTTAAGAAATAATCGTAAACGATTTAAATATACACATACAGTACAGTATAGTGTACAGTTCATGATCCTGTAGGTATTAACCGAGTACTATACAGCTACACCAAACTATGTATAATTTGTATTTATTTGTATCCTTGCTGAAATATCTTATTTTTTAGATGGAGAGACTCGAGCAGTAATCCAGTCAACAGTGTCTTGAAGTGCTTCATGTCGTACCTCTGGAAGCTCTAGATATAGATGATGGTATGCAGAAGGGAACATCTGTTTAGAAGAAAAGCCTGTTATACAAAATTTCAAAAAACTTATTATCAATATTAGTAGGAATGTAAGTAATACATTCAAAATATCAAAACTTGTGTTTACAAGCAATGTTAAAATTAATACCCTCGTCAAGTGCAGTTAATTCATTATTACACTACCACAGATTTGTTTTGTAACAGAATTTTATACAGTGGAGGCTAAAAAATATGATACTGTACTGTACACAGTAAAAAACTTTTAACATTTGGTATTATTTGGATAGCAAATAACATTTCAATCTAAGAAGTGGGATTACCAGTTTCAATTGTGTAAAAATTTGAAATTGACTAAATGGCAGAATAGTGCCACCTGAAAAATCTGGACAATGTAATTCTGAATCTTTCCTGGACTTTCCAAATATTCAGAGCTTTAATATTTTTTAAATTTTAGGATTGGCCCTTCAGTAGCTCCCTATTGCTTAAGATTTATATCATTGAGACTTCCACATTCTGAGAGGAGCATATGCATCGCTTTCCAACTTCAGACTTGCTTTTAATTATATGGATGGTGAAATACTAACGAAATTGTTCATGACTTTTGGGAGACCAAAATTGGAATATGTAGCAGTTGTATGGCACCCAAGTCTCAAGAAGCACATAAATAAACTGGAAAAGGTGCAACAGCATGCTAGAAAATAGCTTCCGGAACTGAAAAACAAGAGTTACGAGGAGAGACCAGAGGTGATTAACATGACAAAACTAGAAGATAGATGAAAAAGAGAGGGATATGATCACCACTTGCAAAATACTAATAGGAATAGACCAAATTGACAGAGGAATTTCTGAAACCAGTAATTTTACGAACAAATGGATGGCGATTCCAATTAAGGAAACAAAGATGACAAAAATATATTATAAAGTTTTCTTTTGCAAACAGTTTGCAAAATGATAGTGAGTGGCAGATGGTTATAACAATCTAAGTGGGGGTGGGGGCCAAAACTGTCAATAGTTTCAAAGTGTTATATGACAAAGAGTACTGGGAAGACAAGACACCACTAACATTGCTCATCCTGTAACTACACTTAGGTAATTATGCTACTGTATTAGGAATTTAGACTTGTTTGGCCTATTGGAAACTAGTTACAAAAATCTGGTTTATTCATCAAGGAGATTAGAGATCCACCCAAAATGAAGAAAACTACCTAGAAAGTCATATGGAAAACAAAATAACTGCTTTTAATAAAAATAAATCAAACAATAGTAGGTATTGGTTCAACAATACCCGCTCCAACTCATCTAGCCATCACCAGATCTCACACAGTTCCGGATGGGTGACACCCTCACTCGCAGACACCCGTTAATCATCCTTATTGATAAGTAATGTTGACATTCTGTCCTACAGGTAGTGGGACAAAGGGGGGACTGTATGCTTTATGTATTGATTCTTATTATGCTTCATGATTGTGTTTGTCACCCATGTAGTGTGCTCCAAGCCGATTATTTTTCTCCGACGTAATTTTAGCCTTTTTTTTTCTTGAATAGCTTGGGTGTCCTTTCTGGGAAAACTTCTTTCTAGTTGTTGCTACATCTGGATAGTGGTTAGTACTTTGTCCTCAAAACCAGGTCTGTTAATACATTAAATATTTATATTTAGTATAGCTTAGTTCATTTATTATGCCTCCCATACCAATCCTGTGGGCAGTAGTGGAAAGGGTTACAGAGGCACATAATGGGCTCATGGACTGAACCCCAAAGCTAAAACAAAGTTACAACAAACTTGTTTAGCTAAACAAGTTACAGTTTTGATGAACTAGTTACAAAATTCAGTACACATCTTCACATCAACAATGGGATCAAGACTGACCACACGTACAGTCTCTAAATTAAGCAACTGATATACAGTATGCAAAGAGCTAGTGTCATAATTAATATGTTTATCCTACACACTGCCCCTTAACCAATGGGCAGTGGTGAAAAGGTTACAATCACCCAGTTACTATATACAGTTAGCAAACTGGGGATATTTGGCTAAGATTTCACATAGCGGCTCATTTTTAATTAAATATTTACACATGTTTTAAATATTTGCTATGGAATTGTCTCTGAATTCACGATGTACTGTATATTTGTTTAATTACCAAAGTATAATTATGGAAGAATAGTTATAGTATGAGAGCTATGTTCATGGTGTTCTGTCTTCCCAATACTTCCTTAGCTTGAATCTATGTATAACCTCTTGTTCTTGATGTTGCAGGTTTAAAGAATTCCGTTGTAAATTTTGTTGATTCCTATTACTACTGCATTTTGCACATATCACCTCTATTTCTTCTATCTTCCAACTTTGGCAAATTTATAACCTTTAGCCTCTCCTCATAGTTCTTGTTTTACAATTTCAAAAGCCATTTTGTTGCATGTCTGCACTTTTTCCAGTTTACTGAAGTGCCTCTTGAAATATGGGCATCAAACAACCACTGCATATTCCAACTTTTTCCTCACAAAGGTCGAGAACAATTTCTCTAGTATTCGTCATTCATGTACAGGATTTAAGAGCGATTCTGAAGTTGGAAGGCATATCATACGCTCCTCGCACAATGTTCTTTATGTGGTCCTCAGGTGACAGTTTTCTACCCAAAATCACCCTACATCTCTTTCTTGGTCTGAGTTCTTTAATTAAAGCCTTTCGCATAATTTGTAGGTTGTGTGGGGCCAATTTTCACCTATTCCACATTCCATACCAAGAGACTAAAATGGTCAGGTGAATGTGAAATGAATACAACTTATTCTACTGAAATGATAATACTTACAGTATAGTAACTGTATATGACAGTACTGTACCAACATGTAGTAATGAACCACCAGTAAACTACTTTTTATACTACAGTGTGTTGACCAGACCACACACTAGAAGTTGAAGGGACAACGACGTTTCGGTCCGTCCTGGACCATTCTCAAGTCGAATACTACAGTGTATTAATTCTATAGATTCTACAAAAAATAAAGCTACAAAAACAAATATTCGTAGGCCTAGTATAGCACATATATGTACTACAAGAGGTCTAAGATAGCATACATTAGGCCTAGGATTGCTAGGAGAGGTTATGTTAGGTCTTATATTTATGCTGCAGATAAAGTTTCTGGTTTGTCCAAATTCAGTAATATAAAAGTCAACTCTGGTGGTCCATCACTACATAATGGTACTTACCACCAAATAGTTAATAATAATAATAATGTAATAATTTATTTAGACAAAAGTACATACATCTATATATAGGATACAAGAACAGTGCAATATTCCTAAGTACAGTAAGGTGACCACCATAATTTTAGGAGGATGGGCTGAATAAACAGCACCAAGAGTTTGGAGTTTCAGTCCTGCACACTAAAACATTACAGATGACAAGACTGAAGTATACAAATCGGTATCTTTGATTCCCATGTGGCAGAGTATGTGTCTTTGTGTCTTTGTTTGTGTCTTTGCTTCCGCCGGGTCGAGATTGTCTCAGGAACCTGGCATATCGGTGGTGGCTCTGGAGTGCTAGTGCTGTAAGTTCTGTGGAGCTACCATGGTGCTACAGAAAGAGCCATTCTGCTTGACAAGCTATATTTTTAAACATTTTAATCTAATATTTGAGGGTTCTGCATTACATATGATTCAATATTCTATCTCAGTAAAACTTGTGGAACATCCATTGAACAAAACCTGTCATTGGAAAAATTTAGTTGTAATAAAAGCTTACATAAATCTAGATCTTGATTGTAAAATTTATTATGGTGTCAGTTTTTACCCTACTCTGTCTGTCCCTCATCAAATATGCAAACCCAAAAGCAAGAGTTGACTGGATTTTATATTAAGCAACATTGGTAAGAAATTATATATACCTTTATAGTCTTGTCAGTGCTCTTTGCTTGATTATGGAGCATGTGAGATCCTTCAGGTGAGCACAGCAGATCCTTCTCTCCATGTAGGATGAGGAAAGGCCACTCTACCTCAGGCATGTGATGCTCAAAATACAAGAGTGTGTCGATCCCTGCGATTGCCCACCGTGCTCGGATTCCACCTTGGTATCTACGGTAAGTTTAAAAAGGCTGTTGTTTAGTTGTTTATAATGTGGCTTCTATATTATTATATTATAATTATTAATTAATTATAATTACAGTATATTATAATAATAAGTATTCAATATGGGTGGATAATAATATGGATTGCATATTAATTACTGCACCTGTACTGTTATCCGCCATGTAAAAATTTAATAACTATTCCTTCCGTTTATGCTGTAATATGAATATGTTCTGTTCATACTTTTGTTGTTCCAATCATCGTGTAATAATTGTCATTTTCTATTGATCTACCTCAATTCATTATTTTTTTTATCTCATTTAGTTTTAAATCTTAGTTTTTTTTTTATTTTATGCTAGAAATACTAAATATATAAGTGGCTTTAGGCATTGTACCTGCCCTACCCATGATTCATACAATGAAGAAACTTACTACAATGCAGTAGTGCTTAAATGAAGGTTAAGGAAAAACCCAATTTATGTTTAAATGTACACTGTATTAAAAAACAAATTTTCAGATGTAACCTACATCCTTTTATAAGGTACTGTATAAAATGTCCTGAACAAGATACAGTGCATGTACTAAGAACTTGCGTTTATATGCCTGAAATCATCTCAAGATAACCTCTATAGAATCAATAATTACGCCTTCTATTTGGCGTCTCTCTGATTTCTGAGCAGTTATACACAATTTTACTATTATTAAAATTCATCCTATGATTAAAATCTCAAGAATGGTTAGCAATGACACTATTCTTTTGTCACTACTTTTTTGTGTTCATTAACTCTTTCCAATAAACCACGAGCAGTCTCTCCAACATATGATAAAATGCAATCATTACAATTTATCACAAACATCACAGTATTTATGTGATAAATTGTAATGATTGCAATTTATCATATGTTGGAGAGACTGCGTGGTTTATTTTAAGGAGTAAATGAACACAAAAAAAAAAAAAAAAATTTGATAAGAATAATGTCATCATTAACCATTGTTGGGATTTTAATCATAGGATGAATTTTAATAATAGTAAAATATTATATAACTGCTCAAGTATCAAAGAGAGACACTTAATAGAAGGAGTAATTATAGATTCTATAGAGACAGTAAAGGACAATAAATCTTTTAGTAAAGTAAATCAAATTAACAGTAAAATTATTCTTAAGGAAGCAAAACTAACTAATCTCATTTATTCCTATAAGCACAGAAAACCTTGCTGTGTTCAGTGTGGGGATAATGATTCTGCAGACCCCTACCCACAGTTCCCAGAAGTCAAGAACAAGAAACAGACATGTTGACCAGACCACTCACTAGACGACGTTTCGGCTTGAGAATGGTCCAGGACGGACCGAAACGTCGTCGTCCCTTCACCTTCTAGTGTGTGGTCTGGTCAACATACTTTAGCCATGTTATTGTGGCTCATCGCCTGCACAAGAAACAGACATTCAGACTCTTGAGATACTGAACTGAATAGATTTTTTTTTTACCTGATATTCAGCATATGCAGTGTTGCATCTTCCACTATGAAGGAAACATTACTCACTTCATGAACATTTTTAGATTTGTTCCATGATTTTAGATTTGCCACGTGATGTGGCTTTAAAAAATACTCAAATACTGTAAGTACTAAATAACACCTATAATTTAATCCTCTCTTTTGTAAATAAAATAATTATTATTATACAGTATTATTATTATAAACAGACAACTGAAGACTAACCAATACCTGAGAGGATCCTTTTTCATTCTAGTCTTCATTTCTTCATCTCGGGTAACATGGTCCAACTTCAATTTAGCAACCTGCAATATACAAGCACAGGTCATGCATAACTTTGCTATCTACCTACCTACACACACACACACATACTAAGTACCCAGATGAGCCACAGACACATTAGAAAGAATTTGTTCAGTGTCAGTGTAGTGAACAAACAAAATACATTAAGAAGTAAGATGATGGATGTTGGGATCCATACACAGTTCCAAATGTAGATATTATAGAGCCTAACAATGTCAGGAACCCATACACCAGTTTATTGACAGCTGAGAAGCAGGATTAAAGAGTTGAAGCCCACAACCACAATTGGACAAGTACAATTAGTTGAGTGGGAGCTTCAGCAAACAAAATTTGCCAAGTACTGTATTGTAATTACCTAAGTGTAGTTACATAAAGAGAGCTACGCTTGCGGTACCGTCTTGCCAGCATTATCATATAATGCTTTGAAACTACTGACTGTTTTGACCTCCACCACCTCACTTAACTTGTTCTAACCATCTACCACACTGCATATCAGTCTCACATACTCAGCTCATGACCACTCAATTTAAATGATGCCCTGCTCACTTATTGTTCCAACTGTACATAAATGTAGAAAATAGTGGGTAACTTCACACTGGAATATGATGTAGATGCAAATTATAAAGCATTTAAAAACTGAACAAAGCCTAATGCCATTATGACAAACCTCACTGGAAGTGACGGAGCATAAGGTACCATCTTAAACTGGGAAGGGGTCATCCCAGGTGACAAATCAATAACCACAAAGGGAGTGGGAGAGTCTAGGACAAAGCCAGGCCAGGGGCCCAACACACAGCAGGTCTGGCTTGAGGGCCTGGTTTGCCTGCCACTTGAGTTTCAGAGGGAGGAGGGGTGTGTCAAGTTGGAAAAGGAAGCACACAAAAATAAATAAATTAGGACTTCACTTCCCAGCACCCACACCCACCATGGAGCCAAAACAAGTGGAAGCATAAGCATACAGGCTACCCCCCATGGGTAACACTGACAATATACCTGTACATAGGTAACCAGTAGAGGATCTGAATGGAAATACAGTGACTTACAAGGAAACTGACCCTTCAGTGCCCACTCGATCCAAGGCTGGCTAGGCTCACTAGCCAAATCAACCAACTAATTCAGTAAGGCCCCACTGAACTTCCTGTTTTATAAATCTGTCGTGCAGAAGGCTCTGGCCATATATCTGACCTGTTAATCTCCAACAAGTAGTACCTCGGGTGATGTGCTGAAACCAGTTCGGATATTTAGCACCACGTGTATGTTTTGTGAATCTGAAAGCTTTGCATAATTACCTATTATTAATTTTTGGCATATAACCCAAATATTCTAACCCCCCCACTTATTCTATTACTGAAAACTCTCCAAAATCAGATATTATGTTCCTAACTCTGCTCTCCTCTCACTATATTATGCACTAATCTACCCCTATCTTAATTATGGTATCTGTGCATGGGGGTCTACCACTGCAAACCACCTTAAGCCCATCATCACACAGCAAAAATCTGCTATCAGAATAATAACTAACTCTGCTTTCAGACAACACTCAGCTCCCTTGTTTAAATCCCTAAACTTGCTAAATATTAACTCCCTCCACACATTCTCTTGTGTCAACTACATTTACAAAACCCTGTTCTTAAATGCAAACCATGCTCTGAAACTCTCCCTGGACAGATGTAATAGGACCCATTATCACCACACCAGAAATAAATATCTCTTTGATATCCCCAGGGTCAAACTTAATCTGTGTAAACACTCTATGCAAATTAAGGGACCTAGTCTATGGAACTCACTCCCTAGTGAATTGAAAAACTGTAAAACTTTTGCCTTATTTAAAAGCAAAACCAAAAAGTACCTAACTTCATCTATTTAGTTTCCTACACTGAGCTTTAAATTTGCTCTGTACCTAGTGTTACCCAATCTCCTAATTTTTATGTAATATCAAACAACCTTATCATTGTGTTCATTGCTGTCTTCTTTTATGTGCTAGCCATATGCTGTATTGTGACTACCAATTTTTGTCAACTACCATTCAAGCTGTCATTGCAATCAATCTTATATTGTTTCTGCTGTATTGTGCCTACCATTTTGTTGTCAACTACCATTTTAAGCTGTCATTGCAATCAATCATAGCTACCTATGTGCTTTAATATACTGTACCTATAATTTTCTCTCATCTTTTTTTTTCATTCCATGTAATCTGTTATCATTTTTTTGTCTATAAATTTTGCAAGTATTTACCTCCTTAAAATTTTCTTAGATTAAGGACCTGCCCGAAACGCTGCGCGTGCTAGTGGCTTTACAAGACTGTAATTACCATATTTGTATCCTCACATTCCTTATGTACATTCTTGTATATGCATAAATAAATAAATAAATAAATAGAAAAGACATTTTCTGACATTTCTTCTACATCAGTGTTTCTTGATTTTGTAACTGTCCTCTTATTAATATTTGCTCCAAATAGAACAATTTTTTTATCAACTTTTTCAAATTATCGCTATTTTGTATGTGGTAATTGTGCCCCAACTTTTTATTGTCTATCTTCTACTTGTGACAGCTTTAGGAAATTTATCTTCTCTTCATAGCACAACTATCCAAATTTCAGAATCTGTTTTGGTCATGCCACTGATTAATCTAGTTAAATAACATTTAATAAAAAAAATAGGAGCACTGTTCACTTAAACACTATCCAAAGTTTGATCATCATTGCATAAACTTCCCTCACTTTACCATCAAGTGTTATGAATGAGTGGTTCTGCCTGGATAACAATTATTTACACAGGATCAGTATTGCAAATGTGGCATAAGCAGTTGTTTTGGTGTGCTATATCTTCCTGGTGGGTTTCTCTTGTTTACTGTAGCGATCCTAATTTCAGATTCAATTTTTTTTATTCAGGTAAAAGTACATACATTGATGAAGAGTTACAAACATAATGTTGGACTTAGAGCTAGTACATACAATACCTAAAACCACTAATATGCATAGCGTTTCGGGCAAAATACCTAGATTCCCTTTCCCTCTACTGAGTGCATCAGATTCTGGTACTGGTCCCCAGGTGGCACTCATAAAACCTGATAGAGCCTTGTGTGGTACATAAAGTTTGACAGGTTCCCAAGTAGGTCGCTCTGTGTGCTACCGAGGGGGCTTCTCATAGAAAGCAAAAACTGGAGATACATAATTAATGAAGTATAAAAGTGCAATTTATTATCACATTTATAATAGTAATACCACTTACTGCTAATGTTACTATATTTCATTACCACCGTTAAGATACTGACGGCAATATAAGGTAGAATTCGAGCGACCATTCTAGCTAGGAAGATCTTTGGTGCAGTGGCCTCAGCAGAGTTGGCTTTGATGAGAGGACCCATGAGTACCACCCCAGCGAAGTATTCAGGCCGTGCCATTCCACACTTAATGGCAATCATTCCACCCTGCAACAATGAACATTGCTATTAACTTATACCGTATAAACAGATTTATTGACTTGCTTCTGCATAAAATAAAATTGGGTTGAATTTAATAGAAAACTATTTCCTGGGTGGCCTCAGTACCTAACCAGTGTATTAGCTGTTTTATTTGTTTAATATGCTTAGGTACACACAGTCATATTTATTACTAAATATTAATATTAGGGATCGGTCCAACTGGTCCTATTAAGAGAGGTGCCAAGCCAAATACTAACCCCCTCCCACCAAGGGGACTTAATTGGTGAAAAGGGGCAGGCTGAGTCCCTAGATTCTTTACATCTATTTAGAGAAAAATGCGTTAAAAAAGTAGTTATGATGCAAGAAGGGTGGCGGGAGGCCGGGTTGGCATACCATAGAGTGGCCAACAATGAAGCAGGGTAGCCCTGGGTACTGCAGGCGCATGTCATCACAGTGGTGGAGAACATCGTCCACGTAGTCATCCACAGTTTCGATGTAGCCACGTACACCCTCCGATCTCCCGTGTCCCACTGCAAAATATTCATTTATTTATTTATATACAAGAAGGTACATTGGGCTTATGAGGTTACATAACATTAATGTTTTTACAATCTTGTTAAACCACTAATGCGCATAGAGTTTCCGGCAGGTCCTTAATCTAACAGATAATATTAAGTAGGTAATTTGTAGTAAAATATAAACCATGTGTTACTACTAACATTCATTCAACTATGGTGGACAGAAAAACTTAAATATTGTCACGTCTGTTGAAGATAAACTAATCAATCAACGTATGGACACCAATTATATACCTGCTAACACTTAAATGTTAGGAAGGAAGAATAAACTAATATTTTGTTATGTATATGAACAAGAGTTCTTACATTCTTGTAGTCACTGACACACACACAGCGTTTCAGGCAGGTCCTTAATCCTAATTTTCCCCGGAATACGACCCGCCAAATCGTTTAACAACCAGGTAAATATTTCACTGTTGTCTAAACAGAGGCTACAGTTAGGGATTAGCGCCCAGTCAATCCTCCCCGGCCAGGATACGAACCCAGGCCAAAGTGCTCGCGAGACACCGGGCGAGTGCTAATTATTACCTGAGAGCCACGAACACTAGTGGCCTCGATGATGACAGGAAGCCGGCGGCTTGTCAAAGGTCCCCCCCCCCATTTGCCTATATCTTTTCCAGCTGTACTTTAAATGTTAATAGAGTTTTGGCAATTTACAGCTCCGGCGGGTAGGCAGTTCCATGTGTTTATAACCCTGTGGGTGAAGATGTCCTGCTCTCAGTCCTACAATGTGGCTTGTTGAGCTTGAAACCGTTGATCCTTGTTTGTGTTGCATTACGACCTACTGAAAAAATTTACTGGATCAACATCCTCCAAATTGTTCAGTATTTTATGTTTTAATTACATCATCCTTACAGCCCCTATACTTATGGTAAACACTCAAAATTTTTGGCCACTATATCTCCCTGCATGTGTAGAGTACTTTAGAGTATTGTTCTCATTAGGTTAATGTCGCAATTAAAATTTTTACCTTTGGTGTATATAGACGAGATTCCACGACTAGGCTAATAATGCTAATGCAGTTTTCTCCATGTTCTCAATTTACATTCTCTTGACAGACAAAGAGTAAGAGGTGATAGGATTAAATGGATGAAAGGTTATAACAAAGGCTATTTCAGAGGACCAGCGAAATTACTGGATTCGTCTTAATTTATTGATCCTACTGGTCCCACCTTATTTGACCGGATCCTCTGGTCCATCATCTTATTTACTGGTTCTTCTGGTGCCTTAATTCCGGGCCTTCTGGCCTATCATCTTAATTACTAGGTCTTCAGGGGGCTCCATCTCTATTCACTGGACATTCTGATCTCATTATTATTCTGGACCTCCTGCCTGTGGCGCCTCCTCAACAGCCTGGGACTCCATATTTACTGTACTCTCGGTCCCACTTCCATCTCTGTGTTCACTAGATCTTCTGGACCCTTCATTGTATTTACTGGATATTATTATATTTTATTTCTGGATCTCCTGCCTGAAGTGCCACTACCACAGCCTGGGACCCCAACACAACAGGCGGACCCTACCACCACAGCCTGGGACCCCACTACCACAGCCCGGGACCCCACCACAACAGGCGGACCCCACCACCACAGCCTGGGACTCCAACACAACAGGCGGACCCCACCACCACAGCCTGGGACCCCACCACAACAGCCTGGGACCCCACCACAACAGGAGGACCCCACCACCACCACAGCCAGGGACCCCACCACCACAGCCTGGGACTCCAACACAACAGGTGGACCCCACCACCACCACAGCCTGGGACTCCAACACAACAGGTGGACCCCACCACCACCACAGCCTGGGACTCCACCACAACAGGCGGGCCCCCATTACCACAGCCTGGGACTCAAGTTATTCACCTCTTTGCAGGATACAGCAATCCACCGTAGGTCATTCTCAGGACTCGCTATAGCCATCTCCGGACCTACTGGAGTCCGTTCTCCTAATAGTACACCGCATTTTGACGTATACATTCCATAGGGTCAAAAACTACTGTACTAAAAAATCATAGCGACTCGCAAAATTGACGTAATGTCCAGTTTTCTGTTCGTGGGTCTTCGGTTAGGTTAAAAGTGCTATTATCGACTTCATATTTAAAGAATAATTATCAGTTTAATTTCAAAGGTTTTTTATGTTATCAAACATAACGCCAAGTGTTTTTTCAGATCCCTGTAATTTAGTGTAAAAATCACGTGCTGCTTCATTTAGTAGTAATGATAATCTTTATAAATTGATTTATTATTGGTGGGGGTTTAAAGAATAAATAAAGGCGTGACTTTACATGCCGCACGTCAACAAAATTCAACCCGTCAATAGCACGTCGCATTTTGACGTATATTTTATATAAGGCCAAAAATTGCCGTACTAGAAAATGGCAGCGGCTCGCGGAATTGACATACTGTCCCGTTTTCTGTTTTGGGTCCTCTGGTAGGTTAGGATAAGGGCATTTTAGTACGACAGTTTCGTGACGTTGGTCGCGTGCCACGGGTTCGCCAGCCCTGATCTAGGACATTCTTTTAGTTTTTTTTTTTTAAGGGTTAACGCTAGAGATGCATGCTCTTAGATTTGTTAAGAGATATAGGCAGCAGCGATTCACTATGAAGAGGACTTTGTTCTGCCTTGCTATCTCTATCACTCGACCCTCTGCTTATCTTTAAATGCGTGTTTATGTGTCAAGTACCCGAACTCATTTGATTTGTCCCTCAGTTCTTTGTCGTATTTGTTGTTTTTGCCTGTGCAGCTCAGTTTTGCATGTGCTAGTCTCATAAGTAATAACAAGTGTACAAACATTACACGGGGTTGATACGGGGGAGAAGCTGTTACCCATGCAGCAGGTCCCTCTTCTTCAGGGCGCAAGGCCAGGGTAGATTGATATGGGGGAGAAGCTGTTACCCATGCAGCAGGTCCCCCCTCTCCACGGGGCCGAAATTCTCCAATGGAATATCTCCAATACAAACTGTTATTATTATTTATATAAATAACTCGTGTACAAGATGGAAATTGAGGTGAATTGGCTGCCATGTGGGGCTCCGCCGCTGCCCTTCCTGGCGTGTTAAATTATTCTCCTTCCTATACAGTACGTGAGCCCACAAGATCATCTCTGCCCCCCTCTCGCGTCCGCATCTTGAGTGTGTGTAACTGTCAATCAAAATAGACTGAGTGAGGGATGAATAACGACTTGATCATCTATATTTTGTACTGAGTCGACAGTGATGGTGACTATCTCACGAGAGTAGTTATAGAAACTATGACAACTACGAACTCTAAGTCTCCAAATTAGAGTTAAGAATTGTGATTGGCATTTTAGAACATCTGGGCGAGACGGGTCTCTCCCCACCGGAAAAAAAAGAACATCACTTGCTTGACATTTGCGAAGATATTCGGCAACAGCGCACAATGGAAGTACGTTTGGCAAGTTATCACAAGGTGAACCGGAAGTGTGGTGGTGGTGGAGGTGGGGTCCCTTGATTGTTTCCAGCGTGAGATGGACATATATATATGGATCAGATTGGGTGGATATAAATAGGAGCTGTCTCGTATGGGCCACTAGACCTTCTGTAATTACCTTTATCCTTATGAACAAACCTTTATTCTTATGTTGTTATCATGCTCTATAAAAGGCTGGCTATAACCTCGATACCCAAGCTGACGACGTGCTGACACGTCAAGACAGCGCGGACCACAACACCTATACTGCTTCACACACACAGATCACACTAACGTATTGCATCAAATGAACAAATCCACAAGGGCCGTGACGAGGATTCGAACCTGCGTCCGGGAGCATCAGTCGATTAAGGCAGTGTCTGGGATGCTCCCGGACGCAGGTTCGAATCCTCGTCACGGCCCTTGTGGATTTGTTCAGCTATACTGCCTGCCCAAGAAAGTGATCAAATCATCTTTCCTGAAGTACAGGACTGGTGGCGATGACCAGGCTGGCAAGAGCTCCTATACACCTCGGTACAAGACATTTCTGGCATGGTACTTGACTACTGCCTCAGTTGACAAGAATATTATGCATGTGTTGAGTGCAACACATGTAGCAACTGACAAGGATGAGTGTGGTGCCGACCCATACTGCGAGCCTCATCAGAGGACCAGCTGAGGGGGTGATGTAATGACCACACCACAACAGCCAGGGTGAACAACCAGGCTGCCCAAGTCTCGACACACTCACCCTGTATGTCATGTCCAGCTAGCTCCCACTCTGCTACATATCACACTTCTGCAGTAACGACCGGACATGAACATCGACGAAGGGTTCGGAAGTGTGTTTTCGATAATAGGTCCGGCACCTCCCGCTCGTTCTTTACCCAACCACTTGGGCTGGACGGTAGAGCGACGGCCTCGCTTCATGCAGGTCGGCGTTTAATCCCCGACCGTCCATAAGTGGTTGGACACCATTCCTTCCTCCCCGTCCCGTCCCAAATCTTTATCCTGACTCCTTTCAAGTGCTATACAGTCGTAGTGACTTGGCGTTGCCTCCTGATAGTTTCCTTCTCTCTCTCCCACTGCTCTTCCACACCCGCTCAGTTCAACCTTCCCTTGGGTGGTTTGCGATGGTTAGCAATTTCTCTGTAGGCGACAAAGAAATAGGAAGCAATGCTCACCCCTCGGAGTGGACCAACAGAAGAGAAACTGGGTGTTTACGGCGCCACTATCGGGAGGTCAACCGCCTCACAAGTCTGGTCTTGTGGTAGGCGGTAAACTGGTTACAATGGTTTTTGTTTTATTAACACATTTAAGTGCATATATCCAGCTGCCCCTGGACTATATGAAGGAGAGTACAGTGTGTGTCAAAAAGGTACAGTGTGTGTGTGCCTACGAGGTGCTAAAAGGTCCCCATCACACAGGATGGTTAGTCATACAGAGGCATGTGATAAGTAGTCTGCACTGGCAGACTCTGGGAGCATTATGAGGATATCATCAACACAAGAGTGAATAAA